CGGACATCATAGTCGAAGGTGCACCTATCAAACGGGAATGATACGAGTACGGTAACGCGTAGTGTATGGATTTGTGGACATTATGGATCTTTGTTACCAGCAATAATGCTCTTCGGTTCTCGTCATTCATCATACGAAACAGCAGCATTATGCTGCTATTTTACGCTGATATTCTTTTTCTTTTTTCTTTCAAAATAGAGCTACACCGTGGCTCTACCATGTAAAGATAGCGAAGTACGTGAAAATGCAAAGGTATTCTAACAGTTTATTTAATAAGGTTCATCAACAGATTGACAGTTTTTCAAGCCATTGTTTATTATAGCAATAACTATATAATATGTCCTATACAACGTACCTCTTATAGACGAATACAGCGTGCATATTTTTAGGTAGGTTACAGGTAACATTTAGGTTCCTTAATTATCACTTAAAAATATTTTTAGACAGTAAAAACTAATATTTTTCAGAGGCAAAATAATTTTGTAAAATTTATGTAGATTATCGTGAACTTTTTGTTTTGTTGAATCACTTAAAATATGTAGGCAGATGTTCGATGAAATCGAAAAATAGAGGGCATTAGGGTAACAGGGATAATTATTAGGATTGAACATTTATAGGAGAACTTTGATATTTTTGCACAAGTATTCATAGCATAGTATATGGATTTGATTCGAATGACGTGTGACGAAAATTGGAGACCCTTTTTACTGTTAACGAGACATTCGCATTTATTCATCAGGGGTTACAAGGTATCTACATTTTGGTTATTAATCAAGGATAGATAGAGTGTATACCTTTTTTTTTATAAAATAAGGGTGACAAGCGAGCACAGAGTCCACCTGATGGTAAGTGGTTGCTGTGGCCCATAGACATCTACATCTGTCCTCGTTTGCGAATCAAAACGCAAATGCGTTGTCATCCGTGAGGACTAAGATGGAATACCTCTTTTTCAGTAAAAAGGGTCTCCGGTTCTCTACACTCACCATACTAAGCACAGCAGTATTAAGCCGCTATTTTACGCTGGTATTCTGTGAGAGCGTGGTCCTTCCCCGGTCGAGCCGACCCATTCGTGCCACTACTACACAATTAATATTTAATATAGCTGCAGCATGGCTCTACCACGTGTACATGTATATTCGTAGTACCTCATACTTATCTCTATACATATATAAAAACCAATTGCTCGCAAATGGCTGGACCGATTTTGATGAAATTTTTTGTGTGTGTTTGAGTGATTCACAATTGGACTGATCGGATCTCTAGTTAAAAATATAAAACTTATGGCCAAATACTTAAAGGTTACTCAATTTAAAAATGTCGTTAAGTCTCATGGTGTCACAGTCACTTTGACTTAAAGTGATAGAGACAGCACGAGACTTAATGAAATCTTAAAATTTAGTAGCTTTTGACTATTTGGGCATTAGTCTTCAAAATATTATTTTTTCACATTGAGGATTTATGGTGTGAACAACGGAGTGCCGTCACAAAACGGTGGAATACCACAATTGAAATTGTCTCACTCCAGTTACCGCCGACACTAACAATACAAGTACAACGCATGTATTTGACGGATGCTGGCTTCCGTCCCGCAAGTAAATGACCTACCATTACTGTATCATGAAGCTTCAGATTAAATATATGTCGTATAAAGCCCATGATAACGTACAATGGAAACGTTTGATACGGAATAACACTGATGTAACGTCCTGCGATTTCTGATAACATTAAAACAATAAACAATAATGTCTATTAGTTACTAATTAGAATAATGTTTCATCTATGCATCCATTACAGCCTATAAAAGTCCACTGCTGAGCATTGGTCTCCGTCTTAGGGAGGATTTTGCCATAGTTGTCACGCCTGGCAGACGGGTTAGCAACCGCAGTCTATTATAATTTTGAATTGTTATTAGAAAGACACTGCTGCCCATCTTCTGGTTTGTTTCCCTTTGTCGCCTCTTACGACACCCACGGGACGATACGGGGTAGTAGGCATTCTTACACCGCCACTACACGGTCAATAAAGTTAACATCCTATTTACATGGTTAATAAACTTTACATCCTATTTATACGGATAATAAACTTTACATCGTATTTATACGGATAATAAAGTTTACATCCTATTTATACGGATAATAAAGTTTACATCCTATTTATACGGATAATAAAGTTAACATCCTATTTATACGGATAATAAAGTTTACATCGTATTTATGCGGATAATAAAGTTTACATCGTATTTATACGGATAATAAAGTTTACATCGTATTTATGCGGATAATAAAGTTTACATCGTATTTATACGGATAATAAAGTTTACATCCTATTTATACGGATAATAAAGTTTACATCCTATTTATACGGATAATAAAGTTTACATCGTATTTATACGGATAATAAAGTTTACATCCTATTTATACGGATAATAAAGTTTACATCGTATTTATACGGATAATAAAGTTTACATCGTATTTATGCGGATAATAAAGTTTACATCGTATTTATACGGATAATAAAGTTTACATCCTATTTATACGGATAATAAAGTTTACATCCTATTTATACGGATAATAAAGTTTACATCCTATTTATACGGATAATAAAGTTTACATTCTGTTTAACTACTACTAGGTAGGAATGATTTTCTGCAGAGGGGTCAGGTTACAGTTAGGTACCACTCTCTAACCCAATTATGCTGTTAAGCAGGAGTGCGTGCGCAGCTGTTCCGGGCCAAGGATCTAGAGAGCCAATATAATTATAGGCTTGAGACTATGAGGCACTAATTAGTCCTCGGAGTTCACAGAAGTTGCTTGCAGGTGTCTATGTTCTGTAGTAGCCACTTACCATCAGGTGGTTACCATTTTACGTGGTAGAGCCATGCTGCAGCTCTATTAATAGTATAGTTGTAGCACAATGGGTCAGCTCGACCAGGGAAGGACCAAGCTCTCACATAATACCAGCGTAAATAAAAAAGCAGCTTAATGCTGCTGTGTTTCGTATGGTGAGTGTAGAGAACCGGAGACACTTTTTACTGGAAAAGAGGCATTCTATCTTAGTTCTCACGGCTGACAACGCATCTGCATTCTAATTCGCAAGCGAAGATGTAGATGTCTATGGGCCACAGCAACCACTTACCATCAAGTGGACTGTGTGCTCGTTTGTCACCCTTATTCTATAAAAAGAAAGGTGGACTGTAAGTTTGTTTGTCATTTCAATTTCATAAATAAAAAAAACTTCATGTATTACGTCTTTGTATTTTCTTGCTTGTAAAAGAGAGTAAAACAGTGTCGAACGTATCCAGTTAAAGCGGAAGTTGACTACTATTCTCGGCACCGCGATCACTACGACATATTATTGCACTGTTTTTGAAATTTGTTTTTTAATACGTGGTAGAGCCATGCTGCAGCTATATTAGTAGTATAGCTGTAGCACGAATGGGTCGGCTCGACCGGGGAAGGACCACGCTCTCACAGGATACCAGCGTAGCAGCTTGACACTGCTGTGTTACGTATGGTGAGTGTAGAGAACCGGAGACACTTTTTACTGGAAAAGAGGCATTCTATCTTAGTCCTCACGGCTGACAATGCATCTGCATTCTAATTCGCAAGCGAAGATAGATGTAGATCTCTATGGGCCGCAGCAACCACTTACCATCAGATGGACTGTGTGCTCGTTTGTCACCCTATCCTATAAAAAAAGTACTACAGAGAAATTAACCCAACCAAAGCCAATATTATTTAGTTTCGATCGGATTGTGTTGTTGTTTTTGTCTCCATGTTTGCATCGTAGCCTGTTGAAGTATCGCGTTGCTCGCATATATTTGCGGTAGGTACTCATAACTCTGCATAGTTGATTGCATGTGTTCTTCTATACAATATGTCTCGGCATCGACTTCAGATTGTGAAATTGTTTTCTGTTTAGTTCGTTGAAATCGACTTTTATATTTTCTAAAAGAATTTTTTTTACTAAATAACTTTTTTCAAAAACTAATGTTAATGACCCATCAGTAATTGATAAAAACGCGGATTCACTTATTAATCTAAAATGAAACGCATCAAATCATAACGTGTACAGGACGACCGGTCGGAGTAACACAATCTGCTGACGTAACTGACGGAGGCTAGCGATAAATGAAATGGATGAAGAATTGATTTCAAAGTCGAGACTCGATACGCTTAATAATTAATATCAAAGAGTAAAAAAAGATTACGAACTTTATGAGCATAATACTACAGTGATTGAGTAATTAGGAGAAAAAATAAATAACTATCGTTAAGTGATTATTTTTTACAGCTTGTAATATCTTCACGGTTTTATTACTAAGATCCACATCATCTAACATACCTTTTATTATAATGATAATAATTATAAAAGTGGCATATTACATAGTTTTGATTACGATAAAAATTATTATTATTTTGAATTGGATTCTTCGGATTGGATCGACTGAATCTGATGGGATTCGTAAATTGAATTAAAGAAATAATTTACGGTATGTAATAGAACGAAATTATATAAGTAAATCGAATTAATTGAATAAATCTCGGAATTTCATTAGATAACATAAGAATGAACTGATATTTAGCTAATTTACTTGTTATATATACCAAATTTGAAAAAAAAATAAATGGAATCAAGAAATTATTAAAAAAATAAACTTTACGGTAAGGCTACTTGAATTAAAAATAATAATTAAAATTACAATAATTGACGGAAGCGATCGATTTTTTGTGTTATGTTATGTTAAGTTTATATTTAAAATCCGCAAGCTAATTTTAATCATACCTATTTAATTACAATAATTTCCTACAGTGAAAACTTACGTTTTAAAAATATAACTGTAATCCTTATTTATGTGAATACTGTGAATCTAATATCGATTCCTAGAATTTCTCATGTAGAATAGTAAAATAATTTCTAAATATAACTATGTTATAATTATTCTACATATATTAAATGATAAAATATATACATTAAATTAACATTATTAGAGCACATACCTTTTTTGGTAGGGTTGGTGACTCGAACTCGTCATCCTCCCGACTTGACAGAGTAGAACACGACGAGCAGGCCGAATCAGCTGACAGGGATCTCGACCTCAACCAGTTTACTTCTTCCTCAGTAGCACCCACAGCGACTCCATCGGAATAATCGCTGACGACCACACTTGGTGTCCTCACGCAGCGACCTCTTGTTTCACATCCTTCGCTACCCCGCCGGCCCAACTCCACTATATTGGCTTCAATCAAAGTCCTCTCCCTCCTTGGTGACATTGTCTCTGGAGGTGGTGTTACATCGCGAGGGTGGGAATGCCGCCTTGGCCTTGGTTCCAGTTCCACTGCGGAATCGTCGCTCAAGTCGCGACTGCGTCGCCTCACGGCTGCTCGGTCGTCGTCATCTGAGGACGTGATGTCTTCGGGTGGAGTGGCGGCCCGCGGGATGCGGAGGTATTGCATGGGGGCGGGTTCGAAGCGCCGCAGTAGCTCGGAGACGCGCGGCTGCGCGTGCCTGACACGCGCGTTCTGAGGCGCGAACGCAACTCCACTGGCGCTGGGTCTGCGTTGCGCGGACGCAGACTCCCTCGCCTTATCCGGTTCTATTCCCGCGCCCAGTTTGAGGTAGAACAAGCTGTGACTTAGGGCTTTCTCGCGCAACACTCGACGAAAGTCCTCTGGGGGCTGCTGCTCTAACCGTGGCATTGTTTCTGAAATATTAAATAGTTATCAAAAAATAATTCTTAATGTTGTATTAATTACGCGTTAATCTTAATTGTATGTATAAATTAAATGTGAAAGTTATCTTTAAAGTCTTCGTAAATAATTTAAAAAAAAAAACGTAGCCTTCAACTATTTAAAGGGTATATTAGTTTGAAACACAAATTTGTCTTAATTTTAAAAAAGTTTAAGTGTCAGTATTTTTTTATAAGAACGTAGCCTTCAGCTATTTTAAGGTAGATTAGTTTGAAATATAAATTTGTCTTAATTTTAAAAAGTAATTATTATGTATCATAAACGGTTATTTAAGACCGATTTATTTAACAGATATTAGTCGCTTTTCATACAAGTAAAAATTTTCCATTCATCACATTGAAGACAAAAGCCCGAACAAGCCAGCGGCTCTCAGACTTGTAAATAGGTTATTGTATTAAGCACACCGTCCACGTAACACCTAAACATGACTTCGCCATTCAAGCTGACGCAAATAATGTCCAATTGTTTGCGAATTGCGATAATTGTCGAGTTTATTTTGAGCAAAATTTGTAGCTGATGTTTCTTCATGCATAATACATGATAAATAATAAATACTTGTGTTATTTCATTTCGTCATTTTAATTTTAGAAGCTTATTCAGCTGAAATCGCTTAAAACCCGGAATAAAAATTGCTCTCTGTACAGGTCAAGACCGTAGGTACAACGTATATGTGATACTTGCAAACGTGGTTTATTGTCAGTCTCTAACTATATTTACACGATAGCTTAGCATATCATGAGCAAACTGATTTAGTCTGTGACACCATACAATCAAGAATGTAACACTTTAGTTAATAATTTAAAATTAAAAATTTTGTACAGCCGACTTCAATATAAGTTATTTAAGAATAACTTAAAAACTATTGATCTGACCTTGATCAAATTCATATGGGACCACACGAGAAGTACCAGCTTTCAAATAAAAAAAGAATCATCGAAATCGGTTCACCCAGAAAAAAGTTCTGAGGTAACACACATAAAAAAAAAACGAAAAAAAAAAAAACATACAGTCGAATTGAGTACCGGCTCGAATCCCGCACGGAACAAGTATTTGTATGGCCTACAAATAATTGTTCCGGGTCTGGATGTTTGTCCTTGTGCAATTTGTGTTTGCAAACTGCCTCCACGATACAGGAGAAAATCCTAGTGTGGGGGTAACGTTTTCTTCCGAAATAAAAAAAAAAACAAGAATTTACAATTTATAATTATTTATAATTTAAAATATTTAGAAATATCAAAAGGTAAATAACGTAAATTATAATAAATTTATTTAGAAGGTTGGTGACCAAATTTAAAATTCTAGAAAAATTATCTAACCACTGTAAGTGAAAGCAAAGTAATTAGTAGGTTTTAGATATTTTATAAAAAGCTGCATATTTAAAATTACTTAATAATTTACTTTATTGTATAAATTGAGGGAAGAATAAAGTCTAAAGGTATAGAATTATCAATGAAATATAAAACTTGCAATTCACAGTCACAGAATAAGTATCTTGTTTAAACTTCCACTCTGATAATGAAACAGGGAAACTAAATATAATATGTTACTCGAACATCGTATAGTTACCCCATTCCTTTCTACCGACTTAAAAGAGAGGTACTCATTTCAACTGTATGTTCTTTTTATGTGTGTTACCTTATATTTTTGTTCTACGTGAACCGATTTCGATGATTCTTTTTATATTTGGAAGCTGGTGCTTTTCATGTGTTCTCGTATAAATTAGATCAAGGTCTGACCAATACTTGTTGAGTTATACTTAATAAAATATATTGAAGTCGGTTGTACAAAATTTTAAATTTTTAGTAATTAGATACCACAAATTGATTCTTTCCATTATCACTTTGAGACAATATACATACAGTAATATAATTAAAATGTTTTCTTATATTCGATAAATAGGCAGTTACACAAATTAGCTATCCATATATCAACATTTATTCCATGAATAAAGATAGAGGCGATTATTAAGCATATTTAATTAATTACTACTGTCTTCATCTGCCAAAGTCCATTGATTAGACATAGGCCGCTCATATAGCGGCCAGGATTTACCGTGATCGTATATAATTAACAAAATAATCGAAGATATCCAACTAGCTTTATTCTTAATGAACGTCCCATTAATTTATTTGCCTTGTGGTTGTGGCGTCACCATCACCTCATTAGGTCCCATAGGTGTCGTAAACGGCGACTATAGAAACAATCAGAATGATCGCATAACCACCGATCAATCGCGGTATACCATCTCGTATGTGTCTGATGTAAAAATGCCGGCCAAGCGCGGCAATGATGACAGGGAGGCTGTCAGCGAGTGGTGTCACGTGGTAGAGGCATGCTGCGTCATATGGCTGCAGCCACAACGGAACGCAACGAATGAATCGGCCGGGGAAGAACCACGCTCACGTTAAATAGTTGTTTCTTAAATGAGGAAAGATATAAGTGACTTTGGGCCACAACTTCCGACTTAGTCCTCAGAGATGACAACGCAACTGTTACCATCAACAATTTAAAAGCTGAAGTTTCAGCCTATATACGTCCCACTGCCGAGCACAGGCCTCCTCTCATTGCTGAGAGGGTTTTAGGGCAAGGAAATTTCCGCCACACTGCCCCAATCCGTGTTGGCAAACTTCACCTGTCTTCAAAATTTTTTTATTATTTCTCAGACATACAGGTTTCCTCACGATATTTTCCTTCACCACCGAGCACGTGGTAAATCAGCGCTTAAAATTGCAATTAACAATTTCATTGCTGCAGGCGGGGATTGAACCCGTAGGCGTATTACGTATCTTGAAGAATGTATCAGCAATAACCAAGCTAACTAGCGACAGCACTGCCTTGTAGTCGCTAGTTAGCTAGGGCTTGGTTATCGCTGGTCGAAAAATACGTATCTGCGATTTATCAGCAATTATTGTTCTAATTTCGCTATCGCTAGCATTCTTCAAGATACGTAATACGCCTACCGGGTTGCACGCGTATTGTGAAATTAACAGCGAGTCAGCGAGCGCTCAGCCCCCGAGCTACTTTAACGCAACTATCCTTACTTATTTGAAGTTGGCTGCAGGTTTTCATAGGCTGTAGTGGCCACTACTGAACAGGTCGACTGTAAGTTAATTTGTTACTTCGATTTCATAAAAAGATAATTAAATGGCATACTTATTTCAATAAAAAAGTTTATTTTCAGTCAGCTTAATGTCAAAATAACAGCTTTTTACTAAATGCATATAAAAGTATATACGGTACTTATAACAAAAACCTAATTTTTAAGATGTTTGTAAGTCTGTCTGTTTGTTCCGGCTAATCTCCAAAACGGCTGGACCTATTTTGACGGGACTTTCACTGGTAGATAGCTCATATTATAAGGAATAACTTAGGCTACTTATATTTTAGAAAAATATTTAGGGTTCAGCGCAACAAAATAAGGCCGTGTAGTGGCGGTCAAGAATATCCACTACCCCATATCCTCCCGTGGGTGTCGTAAAAGGCGACAAAGGGAAACAGGCAGGAGATGGGCAGCAGCATCTTCCTGATAATAGCCAAAATTACAATAAAAAAACTGCGGTTGCCAACCCGCTCGCCAAGCGTGGCAACTATGGCAAATACCCCCCCTATGAATGACAGTAACAAAGAAACGGCCCCCAGTCCCCGGCGGCCCCGCTATTCCTGGCTACGGTGGCGACCATGGTAACGGCGGGGCAGGGGGTGCTAAGAATCTCCGGTGGAGGTTCGGTTGCCACCTTAGACGACTCGACCTGGCAACGTACAACGCACGCACCCTGAGGACTGACGAGAAGATCGTGGAGCTGGAAGAAGAGATAGACAAGTTGCGCTGGCATATTATAAGATTATCCTAAGTCCGAAGAGAGGGGGAGGACACGGTAATCCTCGAATCCGGCAACTTGCTCTATCACCGGGAGGGCGACCATCTGTCCCAAGGAGGTGTCGGATTTATCGTCCACAAGTCTCTCGTTAACAACGTTGTAAAGATCGGGAGTGTGTCGACGAGAGTTGCGTACCTTATACTCAGAATCACCAAACGGTATTCGCTGAAGGTCATACAGGTTTACGCACCAACCTCGGCACACCCCGATGAGGAGGTGGAGGAAATGTATCAACATATCTCTAGATCCATGCATTCCTCCAAAACCCAATATACGGTGTTAATGGGAGACTTCAATGCAAAACTAGGCACAAGAGAGAACGGTGAGCTGAAAGTAGGGAAATTTGGAATAGGGCAACGGAACCCAAGGAGCCAGCAGCTGGCCGACTTCATGGAGATAGAGGGACTCTTTATGATGAACTCTTTCTTCCAGAAGCGGCTCCACAGGAAGTGGACCTGGTCGAGCCCCGAGGGTTCGACAAAAAATGAGATTGACTTCATTATGACGACCAGACGACATCTGTTCAGTGATGTCTCCGTGATCGCGAGGGTGAAAACTGGTAGCGATCACCGAATGGTTAGAGGCACACTGAACCTAAACGTTAAGTTGCGGTCGGAGCTAAGTTCTGCAAGACCCGCCGCAGAAGAACACAAAAACTCTCCGATCACACTCTTAATCTCATGGCTCTTAGACGGGAGATGAAGCTACATTCTTCAACAGACTTGACTGCATACAGGCATCTGAACAAACAGATCTCCAAATGCATGCGGCGGGACTTACGCAACTTCAATACAGCTCGTATTGAAGAAGCGATCGAGCGGAACCAAGGCTCCAAAGTCTTTGCCAGAGATCTGTCTGCCAGAAAGAGCCAACTGTCAAAGCTGAAGACGGAATGTGGCAGCATCGTTTCCGGGACACCTGAGATTTTGAGTGAGATTGAGAGGTTCTATGGGCAGCTGTACACGTCATCGTTGGAGCCACACGCAAGTGTGAGTAACGATCCAAGAGCGAGTCTCATCCGACACTATTCCGAAGATATCCTGGACGTCAGTCTGAGCGAGATTAGAATGGCTCTC